CAATGCAGTCGAAAATCACACTGCTCGGTAGGCGGCCAAATTCATGATCAAGCCGCTCACGCACGTCAGCGAACGTCGTCGAGGTATCGTACAGTCGCCCAACAGCGCCCTTGACGTAGGACCAAATCATTTCGATAGGTTGCAAGTCACTGTGATACGGCGGCGTGAAGACGACGTGATGGCCGCGATCCATGGCCATCTGCACGATGACAGGTACGATGTTGGCTGCGATGTGGGCTTTTAACTTGGTCCACAAAGTTGAACGGTATTCTTTGACGCCCAATTCGATGCCGTAGGTGGCGCACGCTTGCATCATTCGTGCCTTCGTCCACGATCCTGAAGGGGTGTCGTCTGGTAGGCCCTTGTGATACTTGGCGTTGTCTAACACAATGATCGCGTTGGATTTCTGTAGAGCAGCGACGTCGTCAAGCAAGCGTTGAAACCATGCAACGAAGTATCAATGGTTGAACATTGCGTGATAATCCTTGGGCTGTTTACGGCCTCCTTCAAACGCTTCGTAGGTCAAGAGCTTTGAGTTATCGCAACCGTCAGCCATTATGGCAGCGATGAAGCAGAGTCAACGCCTTTTGTGCTTCTGCTTGGCGTCTGCGGCATCGTCAGGATGGTATATACTGTGATTATGACGAGCAAAATGGTGACGTATATAGGATTCATCCAAATAGATTACCGGCCGAGGCTGCGAGGACTCTATAGCCGTGGTCATGTATTGAATTTATTTATCCCTAGCATTGGCAACAGCGTCAGTGAGTCTAATCGAATGATTTCATTTCCTTTGACCTCGTCGGAAACCCTTTTTTACAAGGAATTTCTGCACTAGTCGCAAACACGCATTCACAGCTTTTTTGTTTTGAGGGTCGTAATTCACAATACCATGCTCATAAACAATAACCATGCTCATATACAATAAACTCATAACATCTTTTGCAACCACTCGTGTGCGAGTTGATCGACGCTCATGAACACGTGATTGAATGATGGATAAGACCTCCTTTGTGTCTGGAATGCGTGTATTGCTATTCGCAGCAACTTTGGCAGCAGTCACAGTCTTATCGTGT